TTTAGAATGTGTGTGTGTGTGTGTGTGTGTGTGTGTGTGTGTGTGTGTGTGTTAGAATAGAATATTAGTGGGGCAGCTAGGTGGCGCAGTGGATAGAGTACTGGCCCTGAATTTAGGAGGACTTGAGTTCAAATGCGGCCTCAGACATATAATACTTATTAGCTGTGTGACCCTGGGCAAGTCACTTAACCCCAAATGCCTCATCAATTTTTTTTTTAAAGAGAATAGAATATTAGCTAAGGGTTTTCCTACATTCAGGATTTCTATAGGTTTTGTCCTGTAGATACTTTTTAGGTGCATAACAAAGATTTGTGAACAGCTGGAGATTTTCTTATACTAGAGTCATTTAAGAAGATTCTCTTTTGTTTTGGCCAGAAACTCTGAGTGTCTTCCCCTCCCTGAACTTTTTTTCTTTAAAGAGGCCATTCTTTTCTTCATTTTTTATTAATCCTTAATCATTGAATGGGCGCTGCCTCAGTCAAACTGAGACCTGTTAAAGACCTGAACTTGAAAAGGCCAAGGTCCCCCACTGCATCCTGGGCCATCTCCAGTTGTCCTGATCCATAACTGGCTACTGGGCCCAGATGGTTCTGGAGGACAAAGTGAGGCTGGTGACTTTGCACAGCCCTTCCTCACTTAAATGTAATTCACTTGCATGTTATAGCATCACCTCCCTGATGTCATGGTCCCCTTCAAGAACATAGGACGAACAACAACCTCTTTATAAAAGGCTTCTCTTGTGTGTGAGCTCATGAAACATTCAAAAATGTTTCCATTTTATCTTGTGCAAATTTCCTCTATTGCTAGTTTGGGTATGAACTAAATCCCCTATACATAAATCTGAAAGGTAATTTCCTTACTCCTCTGATTTGTTTATGATCTTATGATGCCACATATCCATTTGGTTCTTATATATATATAATGTGTGTGTGTGTGTGTGTGTGTGTGTGTGTGTGTAAAGTTTGAGTTGTTGGTTTAAACTTAATTTATGCCACATTGCTATACAGCGTTCTTAACAATTTTTGTTAAATATTGAGTCTTTCTCCAAGTAACTGGAGTCTTTGGGTTTGTCAAACACTATACTACTCTGTTTTTTGCTTCTGTATGTTGTGTACCTAACAAAGTAGGTTCCACTGATTGTCCTTTCTATTTGTTAACCAGCGTCAAATTATTTTAACCTTGCTTTGTCATACAGTTTGAAATCTGTACTGACAAATAGGTCTCCTTCCCAATTTTTTCATGATCACTGTTGAGATTCTTGACTTTTTGTTTCTCCGTGTGAATTTAATTATTTTTTTAATTCTAGGAAATATTCTTTTGGATGTTTTATTAGTATAGCTCTGAGTAAGCAAATTAATTTAGGCAATATTGTCATTTTTATTATATTGGCTTTATGTAACAATGAGCAATTAAAATTTCTCTAATTAGCTCTATCTTTAGTTCTCTAAAGACTGTCTTATACTTGGATTCATATGAGTCCTGAATGCATCTTGGTAGATATACTCCCAAATATTTTATAGTTTCTTTTGTTATTTTGAATAGAATTTCTCTTTCAAGCTCTTTCTGCTAGGTTTTGTTGGTAACACAATAATATGATGATTTCTACAGATTTATTTTACACCCTTCAATTTCTAGATTTGGTTAATTTCTAAATTAATTGTGGTTGACTTTCAGTTAATTTTTCTCAGTAAATCATCATATTATTTGCAAAAAAAAATTGATTATTTTCTTCTTTGCCTAGGCTTATTTCCTCATTTTCTCTTTTCTGTCATCATTTATAGTATTGTTACATAGTTGTGATGTTAATGGTCATCTTTGCTTTACCCCTAATCTTATTGGAAAAGCTTCCTAACTTTACTCCTCCATAATATCTTATATTTATTCTTGGATTTAGATATTTACTATATTAAGGAAAGGTCAGTTTATTCCTATACTTTCTAGAGTTGTTAATTAAGAAACAGATGATGAGTTTTGTCAAAAGACATTTTGCATCTATCAATATTTATAATTTAATTATATTAATTAATAAAATAGTTAGCATTATTAATGTTTCATATTATTTACATGATTTATTATACTTACATGCTTTCATATAGTGAATTGACTTTCTATTCTTGGCATAAACCCAGCCTAGGCTTAGAAGTTAATCTTTCTAATAGGTCATTGTAGCCTTGTTGATATTTTATTTGAATTTTTGTGTCAGTGTTCATTAGGGTATTTTTCTGTCTCTGTTTTGCCTCTTACTAGTTTAGCTTTGAAGATCATATTTATATCATAGAAAGAGAATGAAAGAGTGCCTTCTTTGTGTGATATTAGAATTAGTTGGGCTTTTAAAAAAATTACTTACTAGAATTCCCTTGAAAAATCCATCTGGTATTCCTCTTTTAGGAGTTCAAGCCAGCTTTGAAAAGTGGCTTATTCAATGTCTTTTTTATTTAAATAGTTTGTTTCTTTGTTAATCTGAGTATTTTATATTTTTAGTATGTATTTATCCATTTTCTCCAAGCTATCAGTTTTATTAGCATATAGACAAATTGTTTCTGAAAATTTCCTTTGTTTCCTTTTCAGCTGTTACGAGTTCTTTTTCATTTTTGACATATTTTGATTTTCCTTTTTTTGAAAAAATCAACTTAGCTAATAGTATAACCATCTTATTCATTAAAAAATCCTAGTTTTATTTATCAACTAAATGGTCTTTTTGCTTTCAGTTGTGTTGGTCTTATATTTAATTTTAAGAATTTCTATATTGATACTTAATTAGAGATTTTTTGTTTGTTGCTTTTCAAAGAGAAGGAATTTATGTGATATTTTATGCTAGATGCTCAGGATTCAAGGAAAAAATTTTAAGAGTACCTACTCTGAATTAGCTCAAATCCTCCCCCTATTAATAATACTTCCTTTTGCTTACAGGTATGGCATTAATACCGGTTTATTGACCTAGCCAGTCTAAGAAAGTTCCTCAAGTTTCTGTGTAGAAACTCAAGCCAATGGCTTGAGGGACCAGTCTTTGTCATACCCCCAAGAAGTATCTAGGGGACAGAGCCTAGAGAAGTCTTGAATATGGGAAAAGCTTTAATTGATATTCCATTCTAATCATACATGAAAGAATATACCCAAGAGAAAGGTCTTAACAAATGCCTTGAGGGTGAGAAAGGCTTCAGTAATAGTTCAAATTTTATTTCACATCAGAGAACTCATATGAAAGAGAAACATGCTGATGTGATATACACTTCATCTTCCAGTAGGCTAGGGAGGGAAGATAAGTTCGGGGAGAATATGAAATAGATGAACAAGGACAGAGTCTTGATGGAACTGTGGGAATTGAGTGAACTCCACTTACTCTACCTTGCGACTCAATTCTGTAACTAGCAAAATAACCTTTCTATTCAATTAGTCAAGTTCAGTTTCTGTCCTGTGAGAAAAGTATTTGCAATTAAGGGAATTGTGAGAAAACTTGATCATATATTGTTTGAACATAGCCATGCATGGCTGGGAAGTTGTGCTATCTCTACCTGTTGCTTAGAGACCCTTAATTAAACTCTAGTTCCTCAAGTGTGGCCCTTTGAATCCAAACTTCACACCTGTCGAAGGACCGCATTTGAGAAACTAGAGGACCATACGTGGCCTTTAGGCCGAAGGTTCCCCACTCCTGACCTAGGTTATGCTGACCAGAAACCTAGTCAGATGCAAAGATCAATGCAAGGAGTTTTCTCACAATTATACATATCAAGCAACCCATATGTCCTATCTGAAAACTGGTCCTTTACTGGTTAATCAGTTATTGTTTCTATTTCCCCTTAATTTAATACAGACACTTGGGAGGAGTGAGGCACCTCTTTTTCTGATTTCAGGGAATTGTACCTGCTCACTCTCTTCCCTCTCAGCTCTCAAAACTTACTCATCTTCCTCCCAACGTGGAAAGCCTTTAATCTTTCCTCTAATTAGAAATCAGATTACCTAATTTTGTATCCTGATTTATATCCTATTAATTTTTTGCTTTTAATGCATAAAAATCTGTCTCCCACTGTGTTTGTGGGTCCAATGCTGAAGCTGAGGAGGCCTGGTCCCAATATACTCAGAAGCTTGAACCTTTATTTCCTCAGTCATTTCAAATTTTACCCACCACAGTCATAAGTAGGGTATAGCAACAGGGACCTTGACCCAGGGAAATGAAGTCATGTACCTCTGTAACTTATGTTTTACTTTATTAATAAATATAATAATTCCTTCTACTAAATACCAAAGACTGTTATCTATTTCAGGCTAAAATATTGTGCTACAAGAAAACAATATAATAATGTCATGAGAAAAAGTGAGATGAAATCAGTAAAATATGTTAAGATTGATGTAAACTGAGGCAGGATGAAGGAAAAAAATATAGACCAGTGTTGTCAAACTCATGGGCCACTAAACCTTTGAGAAGGATCCCTAGAGGCTGCATATTGACTTAAAGAACCACACTGTTTTTACACACACACACACACACACACACACACACACACACACACACACATTAGAATCAGTTTCAGCTGCACTCTGAAGTGTTGTAAGCCCAATGCAGCCACATTTTTGACACCTCTTATATAAAGAATCATTTACATCCTTGTCAGTGGGAGCAACAACAGACAGAATGCCCTATGATGGTAATGACTAAATTTAGTCCAAAAGAGGAGATGAAAGCTTCTCTTCCTCTCTGTGCACCTCTTTGGTGCAAAGAGTGCCTAACTTGGAGTCAGGAAGATCTGAATTTGAATCCTGCCTAAGCTGTGTGGCCCCGGGTAAGTCACTTAATTTGTTTGCCTTAGTTTCTTCCTCTGTAAAATGAGGATTATAATGGCACCAACCCCACAGGGTTATTATGAAGGGGGGAAAGTGATAACATATATAAAATACTTTGAAAATCTTATGGTGTGAAATATTTCATAGATTTGGTTGATATATGGGTTAATTTTGTTGAGCTGCTTTTTTCCCACTTTCTTTTTTTATTCTTTGTTACACAGAAAGGCTTCCTGGATAGGAGATGGTAAGGATGAAGATCGTGTAAAAACAAAAGGTACCAATGAAAAGGAAAAAGAAAAAAAAAGTAACACACTGGATGTTCCCAAATAGTGGTCCCTTTTTTAAAAGTTTAAAAAAATTTTCATCTTTTAAAAATTTTGAGTTCAAAAGAATAGACTGATCAATCACTTCTCCAGACACTCTGAACAATCCCTGCGCTTGTAACTACTAAGTGAACTGAACCAGCTGCTGCACTCTTCTTCTTCCCACACTAACTGGTTCTGCACCCTGCTGAACAGGCTAAATATCCCTTAAGACTTGAGAGAATCACAAGGCTCAGTGATTCTAATCCTTGGAAACTGTTCCAACAGGACCTAAGAATGCCTGTATTGTCCCCCAAATGCCTGCACTTGTGGACCTGCCGTGGAAACTGTGCAGTCAAGACCTAAGAATGACTGTGCTGGGTCCTGCCTTTTTTGCAGTTTTTTTCATGTTTAAAAACCCTACCCCTGCCTCAAGTAAATAAGCCTTCTTTCTCAGGGGAACTTTGGTTTGCAAACCTGTTTTCCTCACTTTGAAATTAAACTGATATTTGATTCCTGACTCACTTGTCTCTGGCCTGTTTTGTTTGACTCTGGCCATCCACAGGTTAGAAACTGGACCAGCCCAGACTACATTTAAAATTCTTTTGTCACTTGGGACCACAAGTGATAATGTTTCTCAGGGCCCCAGCTCTCTTGGGACTGCAAGTAATCTCTTCACCATGGAACTGTGCCTGGTAGTGAGTATGGGTCATGAGGTTGCCAAATAGCACCTGGTCCCAGGTCCAGTGCTCGAACAGGAGCCTCCTGCAATCTTTTTCTGACTAGTTTTCTGATCCCTTACCATTTCTGGCTTGAGAGCTGCTGAAGCTGCTGCTTCACAATTGGTCCACAACCAGTGTTGCTACCATGTGGACTCTGAGCCAGCTCCCATTCCTGTATTACAGACCTTTCCTTCTGACCTCATAAGTTGTTTTAGGCTGGAAAAATGTCTCACAGTGCCCTTTAGTAGGCTCTGCCTCTCCAGAATTGAACTTGAGGCATTATCTTAAAGTTGTTTGGAGGGGAACTTTGGGAGAACTAGGCTGTAGTGATTCCTCTACTCCATCACCTTAGCTCTGCCCCGCTTAACAATAGTTTCTAAATACACTGTTTTGCTCAACCCCATTGCAAGGCTAGGCAGAGATCAAGTCCTGGCAGGGACTTTGTCTATATAGACACCCTAAGCCTTTTCAAATTGAAAGAGAGCAAAAGAAAGGTTTTAGCCGTGATGTTGGGGCGCTGACTGTGGGGTAGGTCTTGAGACACAATTTTCAGTCAAAGGAGCAAGTATTAGTTGGTGGTGAAGACAAAGTTTAGAATCAGGAGTATCAGGTATATAAAATTAAAAATTTATTTTAACTCTATTTTGCTAAGACACAAGCTAGATTTAATATTCCCTTTTGAGGTTCCTTCCCCTTGCAAACTTCACCCACCACCCTATATCCTGGAGGATGTTTTCCTCTATGTTTTTCATGGGCCACCCAAAATCCTTTGGCATGCCACAAGTGGCCCTTGGACCACAGGTTGTTGTGCAGGCCTAACCTGAAAGGTCAAATTTCATCAATTTAAACTATTATAGCAACTCCTGTCACCTGCAGACTAATTCCATTGCCTGGAAAACTTTGTCTTGTGACTTGAATCATATGTCTTGGCTATGGTTAAGGGGGTTTCAGGAGAAGTCCAGATGATGTAATTGTGTCATTGACTGCCAATCAAAAGAAGAAGACTCATGTTCAAGATTTTGCTCTGTCATCTTGCTAATTGTTATAAAAGACCCTGTTAACCTTCACTCATGGTCTTTGGTCATCAAGAAAGTCTATTGACCCCATTTATTGGTAATTGCTAGCCTAATTAACAAATGGATCATGCTTGGAACTTTGTCTCTTAGAATTTCTCTCATGACAGGTAAAGAGCCAAGGTTGATAGCTGGAATTGTAGACCAGGAATCCGAAATTTTTTTTCTAACGCAAAAGTCAAGCGAGCAGTCAGATCCAGGCAAAGGTAATAAGGGCTAGATTCAAAAATTTTAAAACCAAAAGTTCTGTGTCAGAGGAGTTACCAACAATTGCATTAAACCAGGAAAAAATACCAGTTGATTGTACTTGTTGGTTTAAAGATGCACAGGAGTTGTTAAGTTGGGTGAGTTCTCAAGATGTCCTGCCCTAGCTTCCTCTGTAAATGGATAACTCATACTTCCTTTGCTTTCAGAGGCAAATGAATGACATATTCCTTTAAAAGTGACTAAATCTTAAGGCACAAAATATTTTGTGACAAATGCAATGGATAAGACAAAGGATTTCTTTTGTAAGATGTGAATCAAGTGCTGGTCGTGGAGTCAGGAAGACCTGAGTTCAAATCCAGATTCAGGCACTTAGTAGCTAGCTACATGATCCTGAGCAAATCACTTAATCTCTGTCAGACTCGGTTTCCTCATCTGCAAAATAGGGCTTATAATAATAGCACCTACTCCCAAGGTTGTTGTGAGGGTCAAATGAGATAACTTTTATAAAGTGCTTTGTGAATCTAAATGTATTATATACATGTTAGCTATTATTAAGCTCCATGGGGTGAGAGAAGAAAGTCAAAGAAGCAAAATAATGATAAAAATGATTTCTTTCTTTTTTCTTCACTAAGAGTTTACTCAGAGAAAAATTCAACATTTCATTTTAGTTGAAAGATTAATAAGATGGTATCAGAAGTGCTAAGCCAATTAGACTTTATTTTCTCTCCCTATTGTCATCCCTTATGATCTCTGGCTTCCTTAGTGAGCTGCTCTGGTATGAAGATGGGCAGGTCAATGACTAAAAATTCTTCCTCCTGCAGCAAATTCAGGTGGTTTGAGGGTGAAATTAGGTAGTACCACTATTATGTCTGTGTATAGTTGAGGTAGAATGGAAAAAAAGGTCTTAGGAGTTGAAAAGGTTGAAAAACTGGAAAGTACAGCTATTTGAAGAGGGCAAGCATTAGGATGGTGAAGACTGAAGCCAATTATTAGATTTGTGTGGGAGGAGGGAGAATGATCTGAGAGACCATGTACATGGGTAGATAGTAGGAAATGAACTTTCAGGGAGAAGATGTGGCTGCTCAGTTAACAATAGCAGTTAGAGAGTGAGAAGGGTCTGAAGTAGCAGCTAGGAATAAGGAATAGACCAGCTTTTCCTCCCAGCTCCATACATCAGAGGTTTGAAAGAAAAAGCAGCTAATCTTGGAGAGAGTATCAAGATCTTCAGGAGGAAGCTTAGTTTCAGTGAGCACCTGAAAATGAAAAGATGATGGGAGAAGGAGATTTTTGGATCGTAGGTTTTGGATCATAGCTCTAGATTTAAAGCTAGAAGAGACTTTGGTGGTGGTTATGGTCCAACACCTTCATTTTACAGATAAAGGAATGAAGGCCTAACATTCAGAAAGATGAAGTGATTTGCTTGGAGCCACATAGGTAATAAGGAAAACCAGAATTCAAACTTAAACTTCTGACTAGAAATCCTGAGCTTTTTTCCATACCACCACAGCAAAGAAAAGTCACAGATGGTGCTGCATAAAGGAAGGCAGCAGAGGGTATGACTGGGACAGAAGTTTACTTTGTAGGGGAAGAGGTGGAGAAGCAGCAGTAACAGCAGCTAGTGTAGCTATTGGGGAACAGTCTTCTAGGTCATCCTACATGGCAGGGGTCCTCAGGCAAAGAAAATCATATTGGTCTGCCTCTAGCTATGAAGGGGGTTTTGATAGGGTATAAAAGCATCCAGTGTACTTATTGAATCAATTGTCAAATGAGATGTTTATAAAGCACTTAGCACACTACCTGGCACATAGTAAGTGCTATATATTATATTAATTAGAAGGAAGAGAACATGGCAAGAGAAGGATGCTGGGTGCTCTGAGTCCAAGAACAATCTGTCCAAAATATCTCTAATTCCCCACCTTCTTCTTCTTCTCCTTGACGAGCCCAGAAGATCAGCTCACCGAGGCTCCCATCAACAATCTTGGTTGTATTCATCTCCTTTTTCTCTTGTTCCTCTATGTACCTTCCCCTGGGGGCTGGATTTTGTTGTTATTGTTGTTGTTTTGGTTTTGGTTTGTTTTAGACCCTGAGCCTTCCTCTGTGTCAGTCAAAATGGTCTGTCTGATTCTTTTGAGGAATTCCCTGTAAGTTCATAACTGCTGTTAATGACTGAGACAGAGGGTATATATACTTTTAATATATTCAACTGGTGATCACTGCTACCATATGTTATACTACATATAGCAAGCTTGGATCAATATACAGTACTGATATTATTGTTTACAAACATGGCCTCAATTAGATGATTCCTGAGGTTCCTTCCAGTGCTGAGATCCTATGATCACCTGAATCGTGTTTAAGCTGGGAAGACAAGAATTAACAGGGACTGACCCTTACTCAGTGAAAAGCTTGTAAGAGAACACCTAGAAGTCTGTCCTTGATGAGTTCAAATTACCATACCCAGGCCCTACCTATTCATCGGGAGAGAAAGAACTTGAGGATGTTTACCTTATTTTATCTTTGAAAAATGATAGAAAACAGAAGCGGCACAGGACTAGACATATGCAAATGCCCCATGTTTCAAAAGAGAGAATAAGATGAATTCTACCAATTATAGCTGAGTGGACTTGATCCTAGTACTTGGCAAAAATCTATAACGTATTGATATAGAGATAGTTTATGAGTACTTAGAATGGGAAAAAAAAAGTATTGCTGAGAACCAAAATAGGTTCATTACAAATTATCCCTAGCAGACTAAATTTACTCCATTTTAAAATAAGATTACTAATGAGAAAAGATTGAAAAAAAAGTAGTACTTCTCATTTCTACTGTATTGATTTCACAGTGTAATTGATTTTATGCTATACTGATTTTTACAATTGTTAGTATGTACCTGAACTCACCTTGCTCAGAAACATGGTCTTTCCTAGTCTGAATTAGTTTGAAGGTATGATTGAAAGGGAATGGCATTATTTATGCAGTTAGCCCCTAACATATCTGCTCATTGTCAGTAAACCCCAACTGGCTTAACCTGGTGTTACGCCACAAAACACTTGTCATCTGTCCTTGCCTGTCCTTGTGCAGTTAGTGTGGCAAAAGTGGGCAGGCATAGATGGTTTGAGACCATAACGAGTCTATATTAAGCCCTTACTGTGTGCCAGGTACTATGGTAATTACAGGGAATATAAATGTAAGAAGAAAGTTCCTGTCTTCAAGGAGCTTACATTATAAAAGGGGAAGAAAATACATGGTTGGGGGGTGGGGTAGGGAATATCATCCAATCAGAGAAGGAAAGATTGCAAGGTCAAAGGTTACTTTCAATGTGTGAAGTACAGAGGTGAAGTTCAGGAATGGAATGAGCTTCCAGGGTGAAGAAGTTTACAGGACACTATAAAGAAAGTGTAGGAATGGGAGCAGCTAGGTGGAACAATGGATAGGGCTCTGGCCTAGGAGTCAGGAGGACCTAGATTCAAATGTGACCTCAGACACTTGACACTTACTGGTTGTGTGACCC